CCGCGTTGCGTCACTAAGTACTCCAGGAACCGGCCAGACAATACATCGAACATGCATTTACTTGGATTCAACTTCATGCGATATTGGCGGAGCAGGCTGAATGCCTCGGCGAGGTTTTTGAGGTGATCTGCACGTTTTGGGGCCTTGACCAGCATGTCATCCACGTATACCTCCATAGTTTTGCCGAGTTGCTCCTTGAAGATTTTATTCACCAGCCTTTGGTAGGTTGCTCTGGCGTTCTTCAGCCCAAAGGGCATGACCTTGTAGCAGTAGGTCCCTCTCTCGATGATAAAAGAAGTTTTCGCCTTATCATCCGTGTGCATCAAGATTTGGTTATAGCCGGAGTAAGCGTCCATGAAGCTGAGCAGCTGATTGCCTGAAGTGGAATCCACGAGTTGGTCGATTCTCGGCAATGTGAAGTTGTCTTTTGGGCATGCTTTGTTGAGATCAGTGTAATCGACGCAGACTCTCCACTTGCCCTTCTCTTGTTTTGCTACTAGAACCACGTTGGCAAGCCACTCTGAGTAGGAGACCTCTTCAATAATGCCGGCAGTTAGAAGTTTGTCAATCTCAGCTTCGATGATAGCGACTCGCTCGGGTGCGAAGTTGCGTCTCTTTTGCGCCACTGGCTTGCAGGTAGGGTTAACATAGAGTCGGTGGCAGATGATTTTCGGGTCGATGCCAGGCATGTCTGACGGCGACCATGCGAACATATCTTTGTTATTCTGGAGGAAGGTGGTAAGCTCCATCTTCTCGTCTGGGTTTAGGCGCGAGCCGATCCGCGCTTTTTTGTTTGGCTGATCAAGATCCAAGGGTATTAACTTGACGTCTTCCTCAGGTTTCCATCCTTCTTCAGGAAAGACCTCTGGACGGATTTCCTCCGCTTGGTCCTGACGCTTTAATTGCTATAAGATAGCAAGATTCGGTTGTTCAACTTCCTTCAGATCTGTCTGGCTCACAGGGAGGAATTGCGCTTGTTTGCTTTTCTTTAGCCCTTGGGCGGAGCATTTCCTCGCCATTGCCTGATCGCTGGTGATTTGGCCTACACCGCCC